TAGAGATGAGATTTCACCATGTTGATCAGGCTGGTCTTGAACTCCCAACCTCAGTTGATTCACCCGCCTTGGCCTCCCAAAGTGCTGGGATTACAGGCGTGAGCCACCACACCTGCCCTTTTTTTATTTTCCAAACAGGTTCTCACTCCGTTGCCGAGGCTGGAGTGTGGTGGCATGATCAAGGCTTACTGGAAGCTCAACCTCCCAAACTCAGGTGATACTCCTGCTTCAGCCTCCCAAATAGCTAGGACTACAGGCATGCACCACTATATCCTACTATTAAAAGACATTTTTTTTTCATCGCATTGCCCAGGCTAGTCCTAACCTGGCCTCAAGCAATCCATCCACCTCGGCCTCCCAAAGTACTGGGATTACAGGTATGAGCCACCTTGCCCCGCCACCAGAAAAATGTATTTAAAGGGCATTGTACAATGGCTGGCAATTTATAGGTGCTCAAAGAGTATCTACTGCCTGACAAGTGAATTAAAAATGCAATAAATACTGCTTCTGTAGCCCCACAGAGAAAAAGGCTGATGGTTATCTTGGAAAAGAGGAAGAGAGTCCAGACAGGAACCAAACAACTGACTGCAGAGGTAAGAACGGAAGGAAGTCCTGTAGGAGATGTGAAAAACCGCCAGCAACTTGAGATAGGCTTTGTTCTGCCAGCTACTCCTGCTGCATGCAACGCTTCACAAACCAGCACTGCCACCAGCACCTCGGGGATGCACTTCATATCAGACGAAAGCTGTTTCTTAGGTCACACGGAAAACCAACAAGTACAGCTGAGAACAAAGCTCAACCACGACTTCTGGCTCAAGTCACTAAGGCAAACCTCCCTCACGGCGCAAAGAGATTGCCCACATACCACCCACAGGTATAAACAGTGATGTCGCCAACGCCAAGGCCCAGGTCTGCTGGTCCCCAGGTGAGGAGGCCCAATCTGAATAGCATCTTTTAAACCAAAAAGCTGATGACAAACAATTCTATTACACCAGAAACAAAGCTCACCATAACCCATTTTGCTCCCATCTCCAGCACCACAGCCAGTGCCTGTATATTTTTGTCCCAATGACAGACCCAAGTCTCCTGAGGCTGTACAAGTCCTAGAAATAATCCTAAAAAGAGACTGAGTTATGATCTGAAAAGAAGACAGTCTATGTAGCTCTGCCTCCTTACATGAAATTTATTTAAAACCAAAAATACAAGATTTAGGCCAGGCACTGTGGCTCACACCTGTAATCCCAGCAGCTGGGAGGCCAAGGTAAATTATGAGGTCAGGAGTTCAAAACCCAGCCTGGGCAACATGATGAAAACCTGTCTCTAATAAAAATACAAAAATTAGATGGAAACAGTGGCGCACATCTAGAGTCCTAGCTACTCAGGAGACTGAGGAAGAAGAACCACTTGAACCTGGGAGACAGAGCCTGCAGTGAGCCAACATCACATGACTGCACTCGGGCCATCTCAAAAAAAAGATTTAGATCACAAAGCCCAATGTCTCCTGCTGGAAATTTTGTTTTTCAGGGAGAAATGCATTGTTTTAAAATCTAGTAAAAATAGGCCCTATTTAGTACGTGTCCACCCAGGACAAGAGATGTACATTTCACAGTAGAGAAGCCTCATTATTGAATCTAGAAATACATGAATTGACCCACCTCGCCTATTCCAGTTTGAAACAGAAACCAACACAGAAATGATCAATCTTAAATGGTAGGATAGTGAGACATGTAACAAGCATAGAGCCACAGCCATCAGTAACATGAGTCAGTACTTTGTGCAAGGCAAAAAAAAAAAAGACCTTAAAAGTACAATAAAATAACCCTTCAGGATTAAAAAAAAAAAAAAAAAAAAGAGAACTGAAACTCAAAAAAGGGTAGGAGTTGTGAACAGGCCAAAAAAATACTAACAAAAATCCCTCAGCAAAGCCCAAGGCAACCGGACCCATGCTGGACCAGCTCTGACTTGCCATTCCTGAAATTCCACTCTCCCAAGGTTTCCTGGCTCTTCCTTTTTACCCATGTGGGCTCAGTGGAGGCTGGAGACGGCCAAAGGCACTGTACGAGAAGGGATGCCCACATAGTGGGCTTAGGGACTAATGCAAGGGCATGCAATCAGCATTAGGGGGCCACGAACAACCGAAATTCACAAGTAAGCAGAGCCTCGTGGGAGAGGCAGCCACTGTCTCCTGGCCTAAGCTAACCAACAGTCCAGAGCCAGACTGGGCCTGAGTGAAGCCACATGGAAAGGACAGGCCTAGAGGCAGGAAGTGAGGAAAAATCAAAGGATGACAGGACTCTGCTAAAACATCTCAGTCTCACAGCCAGGAGGTCTGGGGGAGGGGGATGCCACATTTTACGAAAAAAAAAACCATGGTTGTGGGAATGCCAAAATGAACCAAAACAAATTCCCCAACAAAATGTAGAACCACTGCAGGGCCATTTACCAAAAAACTAACACGTTTAGACAAGAAGCGACCTGGGTCTCCGTCCTTACTTGTGGCCAGCGCTGGGTTCAGCCTCCTGCTTCTTAGCGTTATTGGTCTCAAGCAGCAGACACAGAGATCTGGCTGAGCTCCCTACCTGTACTAAGCCATTCTGGTGCTTCCAGGCAGCTACGTGATAGTCACCATAACCAAACATTAGCTGGTCACAGAATTTGGGATGGGGAGGTCACAGCTCCATCAACCAAGAGAAGGGGGGGGGGAAGCATTAAGACAAAGGAGGCCCAGCGAGGCAACTCAGACCTGTAATATCAGCACTTTGGGAGGCCAAGGCAGGCATATCACCTAAGGTCGGGAGTTCGAAATCAGCCTGGCCAACATGGTGAAACCCTGTCTCTACTAAAAATACAAAAATTGGCTGGGTGTGGTGGCACATGCCTGTAATCCCAGCTACTCCAGCGGCTGAGGCACTAGAATTGCCTGAACCCAAGAGGCAGAGGTTGCAGTGAGCTGAGATCACCCCACTGCACTCCATCCTGGGTGACAAAGCAAGACTGTCTCAAGAGAGAGACAGAAACAAAAGGAAAAGGAAGGAAGGAAAGGAAACCAGAAAAACAACAAAAACATACATTTCATCACTTTCCTATGGAGACACACTTCAACGAGAATCTTACGTGAGCCTCCCAAGACCCCTAATAGATACCCAAGGCAGATATAATTATTGCCATTTTACAGATGCAGGAGCTGAGGCTCAGACACTTGCCTAAGGGTAACCCGATGAGGACCAGAACCCAGCCAGTCAGGCTCCAAGACACATACTTGCCCGAACAAGTTATTATTTGCCAATCCCCAAGGAAAGCAGTTATCCTCAGAAGGCAGGACTTCTTGACCGTCTGTTTGTCCTGAGTATCTCGTACAGTTCTAACCCTGCCTTAAACTGACCAACTACCACACCCCCACATCGCCCCCGCCCCGGGTCTATTCATCTCTGGAGGGCTCCAAATGCTACTCTTTCCCATCCTTGCCTGCCCAGATGCTCAGCACCATATAAGCAAGCTCACTGATGCTTGGGCCTTGAATTCCTTCTGTATTGTCCCTGCCTTAGGCCAGCACCTGTGGCATCCATGGGCACAGTCTGGCTCTATGGGTGGCACCACAAGGGGCTCATGTCTGTCGTAGGACTGGGGACAGCAGTCATACCAACAGCCGCAGGAGGAACTACTGTCGCGAACCAACTGTGCCAAGTCCTTCAACATCGCCCAAACCTGCCAGGTGGAGGGTGCACGCCCCTATTTATGCAGATGAAGCCTTGACCCCAGAGTCACTAGGTTTAGAGAGGAAAGCAGCAGGATCTGCACCCCAACGCCTGGGCCTCCCCAGTCCCACCTTACACCAGAACGCGGTGCACAGACAAGGCTTAATGGCTGCAGCGAGATTCGGAGAAACCATGCTAAGACCGCATACGGATGGTTACAAAAACCAAACTAGATGATACTGTACAAAAAGCCACATCAAATGCACACTAAAACCTTAAGGAAAAAAAAAAAAAAAAAACCTTAGGGAAAGTTTAACAGTCCCATAAACCAAAGGGTTTAAAATTCTCTCCCAGGCAGCCATTTAGCAAATGACACACTCCCCAGCCCCCCTTCTCCCACTTCCTTCAAGCTCACATCCTATTCTTGCCTAAAGGTGGGCTTCGTTTTCCCATGATATTTACAAGGAGTAAAGAAAAGGGAAAAAAAATCCACTCCTCAATTTTAAGTAGGCAAATCCACTCTTCAGAGGCCCCCAGTTTCAACAGGGCTGAAATTTCTCTCTTTGGGGTTAGGGAAGGCAAAAGAGGCGGGGGGAAAAACCCATCTGGCAGGCCCCGAGTGGCGACATCCTGTTTATTATTAAACATTTTTAGCCAGGGAGCACTCAGTTTCGAAAATAACCCTCTGGTCCCCGCACTCACACCGAGACTGTCTGGGCGGCCGCTCACCTCCCTCCCCCGGCCGCCAACTTTGGCGCCGCTGGGGCCCGGCCCACCCCGCGCCAGGAACAGCCGGGCGAACCCGCTCAGCGTCTTGGGCCCAAGGCCCGACCCCGCAGGACCCCGCCTCGGGCGCGTTTCTCCGTCAGCCGGGCGGGGCGGGGAGCGCGGACGCCGGCCCCGGAACCCCGAGACACGGCTGCTGCCCCGGGACCCCCGCCCCTCCAGCCTCTGCAGCCCGGACCGGCCTCGCCGATACGGGGGTGGCCAGCGAGCCCTGCGGGAGGCGCGCAGCCCCCGGACCCCGCCCGAGCCCGAGGCCGCGCAGCGCCGCCACAACAATGGCGAGCACGCCCGGGCCCGCCGCCCTCAGGCCCCGCGGCCTCCCAGCCCCACAGCCCTGCGCCTGGCGGGAAGGAGGCGGCGGCGGCGGCGGCGGGGGCCGGGCCGAGCCGCGCTCCCGGACAAAGGTCGGGCCCGGGCGCAGGGCCCTCGGCGGCGGCCACGGGAGACAAAGCCCGGCCGGGCCGCGCCGCGCCGCCTCCATCTTAGCGCCGCCGCCCCCAAGCCCCGGCCCCGGCCCACCTGGTCTGGTTCCGCGGGCGCGGCCGGGCCGGGCGATGGCGGTCGGGCGGCGGTCGAGCGCGGGGGCGGCGGGATGGCGGCGGATTGCGAGGCGGCGGCGCGGGCTGATCGCTCGCTCCCTCCCTCCTCCCGGGCTCGCTCGTAGCTGCGCGCTGGAGCCTCAGCGCCTGTCTCGCCGCTCGCTCCCTCTAGCGCTCGGCTCCCCGCCCCCCGCCTGCCGCCGCCCCCGCCTCCTCGGCCTCCTCCTCCCGCCGCCGCCCGCAGCCTGAGCCCGCGCAGCGCCCCCTGCCGCGCCTCCCGGGAGCGGCGGCCTTGGGATCCGCCCGGGGGCCGAGCGAAGGCGGGGGCCGGGGGGAGGGGCGGGGAGCGGCGGGAGGGAGCTGGGAAGGGGGAGGGGCCGGGGGACGGCGGGAGGGGCGGGAGGGGAGCTGGGCTGACCTGGGCGGAGCCGGGCTCGGGAAGGAGACCCGGAGGAGTAGCCAGCACTAGAGGCCTGGGAAGAGCCTGGGCCCGGGAAGAGGGCGCCCAGAAAGAGGGGGTAGAGATGGAGGGGGGCAGTGACGGGGAGCAAGCCCGGATCTCCACCCCCTTCCCCTTCAAAACTGCAACGGCTCCCGACAGACTAAGCCCAGATTTTGTTAAAATATATATAAGGTATATGTACGAAAGGAAGCAGAAATAATAATTTGTTCATTTCAAACGCAAGGTTGTTGCACAATATGGATACTTTGTCCCATTTTTACAAAATGAAAAGTAATAAGCCCCTCCTCTTGAGTGTTGTGTGTTTGTGTGACGGCAAAACAAAAGGTCTGGGAGACTGCACTCCCGTCTAGGTTACCTCCGTAGTCTGCTAATGAGAGAGTGGAGGAGGGTTCTTACTTTTTTAGACGAGTAACCAATTAGAAAAGCAATTTCAAAAAGCAAATACAAAAATAATAATAATGCTGGGTCCTTGCACCCAAATCATCCCACCCTCTTCCACGTGCTGTTGCTGACACAGCACCAGCTGTGGACCATGCTCTGGGCTAAAGCACATGGTTTGTCTCTCTTAATCCCAAGCCAGGGGCAGATACTGTAACTCACAGGTGAGACAAAGGAGGATCTGAGAGGTTAGATAATGTGCCCAAGGTCGCACAGCGGGACCCTGAAGGAAAATTAACACACTTCAGCCTAACTCCAGAACTGAGGCTGCTGAGTGAAGCTTAGTACTTGGGTAGTACGATTCTAAGTAATTGTACAGACTTCTTTATAATTCTCTGAATTTTCCTACATTTTATCCACGGTCATTTGCAGTGTTACCTTTTTTTTTTTTGAGACGGAGTCTTCCTCTGTCACCCAGGCTGTTGTGCAGTGGTGCAATCTCTGCTCACTGCAACCTCCAACTCCTAGGTTCTAGCAGTTCTCCTGCCTCAGCCTCCCAAGTAGCTAGGATTATAGACACCTGCCACCACACCCGCTAATTTTTGTATTTTTAGTAGAGATGGGGTTTCACCATGTTGGCCAGGTTGGTCTGGAACTCCTGGCCTAAAGTGATCTGCCCTCCCTTGGTGGGATTAAAGGCCACCAAGCCGGCCACTCTCTTTTACATCATCAAATTTGCATTATTTCCCTGCCAATGTCTTCAATATTTTGCTATCTCTACAAAACAGGGAAGATGTAACCCAAATTTTTATTTTCCATTCCGTTCCTTGACCATCTTTAGGAAGGCCATTGAATTGGCCCAGTGCTCAAAACCTAGCAACTAACAAAATGATAGAAGGCAAATAAACAAAAAATAAATAAATAGACTGTTTGAGCCTCAGATTCTTCATCTAGAAGGCCAGGCACAGTGGCTCACACCTGTTATCTCAGCACTTTGGGAGGCTGAGGCAGCCAGATCACAAGGTCAGGAGTTAGAGACATGGTGAAACCCCATCTCTACTAAAAATATAAAAATTAGTCAGGTGTGGTGGCGGGCACCTGTAATCCCAGCTACTCAGGAGGCTGAGGCACAAGAATCACTTGAACCCGAGAGGCAGAGGTTGTGGTGAGCCGAGAGCACACCACTTCACTCCAGCCTGGGCAACAGAATGACTCCATCTCAAAAGAAAATAAAACAAAATGATAGGAGGAGGCTGAACAGTAACAGGGTGGTTCATTCAGCACTTACTCTGTGCCAGCCACTGTGCTGAATACTCCCTATAGAGTCACGACATACCCACAAAATAGACATTACTAGTGTAATAGAGAAGAAGAGTAGACTTTGTGGAGGCAGAACAATGCCCCTGCCAAAGATATCCAAGTCCTGATCCCTGAAACCTGTGAATATGGTACCTTCCATGGCAAAAGGAACTCAGCAGATGGGATGAAGTTAAGGATCTAGAGATATGGAGATGAATCCTGGATTACTGGGTTGGGCCAGTGGAATCACAAGGGTCCTCACAAAAGGAAGGAAGGAAGGTCAGGGTCGGAGAAGAGGTGGTTGATGAAGCAGAAGTCATCATTTTGACTGAGAAAGGAATGACGCAGGACCTTGTGCCCGGAAATGCAGGCTGCCTCTAGAAGCTGCAAAGGACAAGGAATGGATTCTCCCCTAAAGCCTCCACAAGAAAATGAGCCCTGCCAACCCACTGTGACCTCCAGAACTTTAAGGTAACAAAGTTACATAAGCCACTAAATGTGTGGTAATGTATTAATAGAAAACTAGTACAACCTTGGAGACTCGCTGAAACCAACACAGCCAGGTAAGGGTTAAAGTGCAAGCTAGAGGCTCTGTGGCTCATGCCTGTAATCCCAGCGCTTTGGGAGGCTGAGGCAGGCGGATCACAAGATGAGTAGTTCGAGATCAGCTTGATCAACATGGTGAAACCCCATCTCTACTAAAAATACAAAAATTAGCCAGGCATGGTGGCGTGCACCTGTAATCCCAGCTATTCAGGAGGCTGAGGCAGGAGAACTGCTTGAACCAGGGAGGTAACACAGCAAGACTCTGTCTCAAAAAAAAAAACAACTTAGCCAGGCTTGGTGGTACATGCCTATAGTCCCAGCTACTCAGGGGCTGAGGTGGAAAGATCATCTGAGCCCAGGAGGCAGAGGTTGCAAGGAGCCATGACTATGCCACTGCACTCTAACCTGGGCGACAGAGCAAGACCTGTAGCAAAGAAGAAACCAAAACCAAAACTAACAAACAAAAACCCTACAACAATAAAGACTGATTTTGTGAGCTCTCACTACCTGCCAGACACAGCCTAAGCTGGGCCTGAATGTCTCGGGACCTGGCTCTCATGTGGTCTAGTGCTTCCTCGTTCCTGAGAAAGGGTAGGAGGATAACGGGGATTTGGCCACAGCTAACTTGCAATATGATCCGATCCAGGAATTCGAGGCCTCCAGCTGGTGCAGTCATGAGCTGTTCCAGGATTCCTGGACTGGCTGCTTTCAAATGCTCTGCACCTGTTTTCCACAGTGCAGTTGTACTAACGAGACTCAGCATGAGTTCCCACGTTCAGTTCAGAAAATGCAGTCATCTAAACTCAAGGGGAAAAATGGACAATATTCCAGGGGGAAATGGATTCCAGCTGGAGAGCCAGAGGGGGCCTTCTTGGTACAGGTGCCTTTGAGGCCAGGCCTTGAAAGAAGAGCAGAGTTTAATCAGAGGAGATTGTGGAGGAACATTCCAGCTGTAGGGACCAGCCTGAACAAGGTCTGGGGATGGGAGGCTCTGGACACTGGGAGGAGACCACAAGCTATCTAGTGGCCACTAGAAATGTGGCCCCACCTAAGGGAAGGTACACTTCTATAGGAATGGGAGGCCTGACGGGCTCATGACTGTCATTCCAGCACTTTGGGAGGCCGAGACGGGCAGATCACTTGAGGTCAGGAGTTCAAGAAGAGCCTGGCCAATATAGTGAAACCCCATCTTTACTAAAAGTGCAAAAATTAGCAGGCTGTGGTGGTGCACGTCTATAATCCCAGCTACTTGGGACGCTGAGGCAGGAGACTTGCTTGAGCTGGGGAGGCGAAGGTTGCTGTGAGCCGACTGCGCCACAGCACTCCAGCCTGGGGTGGGCGGGAGGGTGGGGGCGGGGTGGAAAGGAATGGTTGCCTGGAGCTAAAAATGCGACACTGCAACACTGGGTCTGAACCAGCAGGGGGCCCCTGCATAGGCCCAGGAGCTCACAGCAGGGAGGGACATCTGAGCCTCGCCACCAGACACACAAACAGGTTAAAAGCAAGTCTCCTCTGAGGGGCTCAATGACACAGGGGCTCTGTGGGAGCCCTAGCATCTTCTCTTCAAACCACACCCAATCCTTATAATTTTGCCCTCCATTTCCCACTAGACATTGAAGGAAGAGGAGAGGAGGAGGCAAAGACAAGACACTGGGGAATAAAAGAAGAAATGAGAGCAAGATTTAAAACTTGGAAATTGGCCAGGCGTGGTGGCTCATGCCTATAATCCCAGCACTTTGGGAGGCTGAGGTGGGTGGATCACAAGGTCAAGAGATCGAGACCATCCTGGTCAACATGGTGAAACCCCGTCTCTACTAAAAATACAAAAATTAGCTGGGCATGGTGGCGCACGCCTGTAGTCCCAGCTACTCGGGAGGCTGAGGCAGGAGAATTGCTTGAACCCAGAGGTTGCGGTGAGCCAAGATCACGCCATTGCACTCCAGCCTGGGTAACAAGAGTGAAACTCCGTCTCAAAAAAAAAACTTGGAAACTGGTCAGGCTCGGTGGCTCACACCTGTAATCAATCCCAGAACTTTGGGAGGCCAAGGTGGGTGGATCACCTGAAGTCAGGAGTTCGAGACCAGCCTGACCAACATGGTGAAACCCCATCTCTACTACAAATACAAAAATTAAGCCGGGCGCGGTAGCTCAAGCCTGTAATCCCAGCACTTTGGGAGGCCGAGGCGGGTGGATCACGAGGTCAAGAGATCAAGACCATCCTGGTCAACATGGTGAAACCCCGTCTCTACCAAAAATACAAAAAGTTAGCTGGGCATGGTGGCGCATGCCTGTAATCCCAGCTACGCAGGAGGCTGAGGCAGGAGAATTGCCTGAACCCAGGAGGCAGAGGTTGCAGCAAGCCGAGATCCCGCCATTGCCCTCTAGCCTGGGTAACAAGAGCGAAACTCCATCTCAAAAAAAAAAAAAAAAAAATACAAAATTATCCAAATGTGGTGGCAGACACCTGTAATCCCAGTTTACTTGGGCAGCTGAGGCAAGAGAATCACTTGAACCCAGGAGGCAGAGGTTGCAGTGAGCTGAGATTACACCATTGCACTCCAGCCTGGGTGACAGAGCGAGAGTTTGTCTCC